TGGGAATCAAAAAACTAAGTAACTGAAGATCTAACTCAAATACAGCTAACTTAACTGATGTGCTGATGTTAAGAACACTGATATACGAATCCAACATTCATCCCAAAGATTTTAAATAAGAATATGCCAAATAATACAATTAAAATACCATAAAATGATAAATTAAAACTTCCAATATCGGCGGTTTCTACAAGGAAATTCGCCGAATCTGAAATTATCCAGATATTACAGACACAGCAGGTAGATAGCCGAATCAAACAACAAATGGCAAAATAAGTGAGTTGAGCAAGAGTTTCGTACAATCAGAAAATAAAGAATTCGTCTAGGTCATTTTTAATAAAGGGAAGTAAACCAATAACACGGTAAATTAAATACAATAGAAAGTGGGGTAAATGTATAATACATTGATGACCTTGGGAAGCTCATCAGCCATTCACAAACTATACTTTAGTTCTAAGACCATTTAGAGTAAACAAAAGAATAAACTTATATGTTGAACTATTTATCAGTGCAGGTGAAAAAAGTTAGTCTTAGACCATACGAGCACCGCTGACTACACTTTGAATCACTTCAAATAAGCTCATTGTATTAAATAACTATCAGTATAGGGTTATGGACATCGTTGAGTTTCATTGAAATCATGAAACGATCAATGTTGAATCGATATCAAGAACCTGGACAACCGTATTGTTCTAGTGTGGGACTCGTCAGCAGTTCTCATCCGTGACATCGCAACTAGCTTCATGAGGCCATTATCAAAGTTCTAGTGAGAAGTCACAACCAGCAAAGTTCAACCATGTCGAGTTTGAGACAGTTACCGAATATAACGGATGGTGATCGTTCAATATCGTGGATTGATTCAAGTTGGATATTAACACCATCGAGAATCGGTTACCAAGGGCTTAAGCGTTCGCGCACGAGGTTGAAGGTGATGAGTTAGATTCTCGCCCGCCGGGTCATGGGTGTGACTGCTGATTAGGCCCATACTAGGACGGAGTGGTCATCTGGTGCTTCCAGGTGGTCTGAAATTGATAGGTTCATAATTTCAATGGGTGAATAAATCTGAGTTACAATTCGCTACTAGGGTGTGTGTTACTTGTAACTTACATACCTTATTGTATTTCATGTTTAGTTACTCTACAAATGCATCTCTCAAGAACGAGATATATTTAATTGTTATTTAGCTAATCGTTAGGTACACACCATTCACTGCTGGGTTTCAAATCACAGACATAAATTTAAGAGCCACTATATCTGATCTTATAAGTTCACCAGCACGGTATGTGTTATCTGAGAAGTTAATATATCAATTACTCTTCACGCTGCCTATGCATTTCCGTCTATGTCTAGAATCCTAAAACTTTACTAATGATATGTTCCAGCCAACGCGGTTAACCTTCAGCTGAGGGTAATTTACATTTGACTCCCGTTAGCTCATTGATTTCCGACATAGAGTATGAATAAGAAAGAATATCAGCTAAGCTTGTATCAAATATTTTAAGCACCCAATCTAACTATCTCAAGCACTCAGTGGTTTATATATACGAATTATTGAACTGAAAAGCATTCCAGATAAGAATTCATACCTTATGTATAATCATTCCACAAGCGGCAGAGAACACAGCAAGTAGTACCTAGTTAATTTGATTAATAAACGAATAATCAATTGAACGATCATAGTTTATAGATTTACTGGAAGCTTGCAATAAAGAGAATGTAAAAACACAATGATACAATATATTTACAAATTATGTAATCAAAGAATAATAACAATCCATAAATTATATACAAGAGTTACACTTTTTCCAATATTCAATCCATCATAACAATATACGTTTGCCAAATTAAAAGTCAGCATAAAATAAACAAACAGTAGAGCGACAGACGGATGATAATGCGATAAAAAACTGAACTTGTAAAATGCGACAAATTTATCCATATTTGAACAAATAGATTAGTCAAGAAAATATATTCACTGATCTGTTCGTTTTTATCATGCACTAGCTTTAAAAAATATATCGCTTGAGATCTATATTACATGACAGTATGTGAATGAAAGATTTCTCTTGGATTTTATTCAGAAGACTGACGAATTCTCTCGTGAATGATTTTCGTAAATATATTTCCAACTCTAGACGATAGAATGATCATTGGATAACAGAATTAGTTAATCTGATATAATATCTTACAGTTTGATTGAAATACATCCAACTAATAGAAAAAATAGTGTTCATTCTAGTTTGCTATTTGATTTTTTTGTTAATCATAATGTATACTTATTGTACACAAATGGAAAAAGGTGAAAAGTAATGAAATATATAATTATTAATCTAGCTGATTAGGTTGAATTAGATTTGAGCTACAGATACATTATCATGTACCTGCACCAAGTAAACAATAAAATGCATTTAACATGCATAAAAGATTGCACGCTCTTATTGATTTGTCCTTTTTATTGTTTCAAATAATCGAAAAAAATATATAAACTTTGGAGTTTATTTCTCATTTATAATCTTACTTTTGTTCATCAAATCACTCACCAATACATATTTAGTCTGTTAATAGCTAAAACAGGGTTGATTGACGATAACGGAGAGAGGCAATTTAGCTCAAAGTTGCATGCGTATGAAAGTAGGAGGAATATATAAATATATATATATATATATATATATATATATATATATATATATATATATATATATATATATATTTGTAAACAGTAAACAGAAAGATTTAACTAGGAATTTTCTGAAGATTTATGTGTGAGTTTGAAGATAGTTACATTACGAGATTATTTTGAGCCCGTAAACACTAAATGAAAATTACAAATAAGGGTTAGCAGATTTCAACTCTGTGACTGATTACAACCGTGCTTATAACATCAGTATATCTTCAATCCAATCCAACATAGATTGGTGAGTTCTAATAGCGCAGTAGTCACAAAGACTGGAATTGCAGAACTCTATTCAATATTTTCTGATTTTTAATGATCAGTGATGAGAATAATCTCAAATATAATTAAATTATGTCAGGTTTCTGCAACCAGCAAACACCAGTATGCAAATAATAATAGTTTGCCATGTACGTTCCAATGATAGCCAACTAATTTCTTTTCAGTCAAATTGTTTGTTCATCTGACAACTAGAGTAAATATTTAATGTAGTGAAATATTGTGCCTGTCATTAACAATATTAATTGGCAGAATTTCAAACTGATCAGTGAGTTAAATTAATAAGTTAGCAATAATATTTTTATGCGGAAAGCTGAAGGTCTCTTATAATAATGAACATTTTGCCAATATATAGAAAGTGGCGAAAAGATCATTCTACTTGATTCATTCTGAATTAGAAAATCTATCTATCCAATAAATTAACATGCATGTCTTCAATAAACTGGTCATTGGCGGAACAATACTCCCACACGAACGCATAGCTTTTTAGCTACGTGGATTTAAACGGGTCACACTACTCAGAACCAAATCGACCATATTTGTTTCATTTAAAAGTTCAGAAGGACGATGGACGACCTCAGAACCACGAGAGGAGCTGATACAGTCTCGGATCATCACTTGGTGGTCGAAAAGATGAAACTAGACAACAGGGTGGGCAAACATCACAGAAGTTTAATACGGCCTTTCTTCGGGATACTGAAAAGCTCAGTGAACTCAAGATAGACATCAGCAATAGGTTCTAGGCTTTGTACGAGTTACTCAATGGAGAGGAAATGGATCAAAGAGGAAATCACTTCAACTTATCACGAGGTTCTGGGCCACAAGAACCACCATCACAAGGAATGCATCTCTGTTGCTATTCTTACAAAAATAGAAGATTGAACAAGAAGGCAGCAATCAACATCAGCCAAACAAGAACAGAGAGAGTCAAGGCACAAGCTGAATACACAGAAGCAAACAAGCAAGTGAAAAGGAGTATCAGAGCCGACGAATGTAAATTCGTGGAAGATCTAACAATGAAGGCGGAAAAGACTGCAAGAGTAGGAAACCTGAGACAACTATACCATACAACAAAGAAGTTCTCTGGAAACTATCGTAAAACAGAACGACCAGTGAGAAGCAAGGAAAGAACAGTAATCACCAACATTGAAGCACGAGGAAACAGATGGGTAGAGCACTTTAAGGAACTCTTGAATTGACCAGCTCCAAAGAACCCACCTAACATCGAAGCAACATCCACGGACCTCTCAATAGATGTTTGCCCACCAACAATTGAAGAGATTAGCGTGTCCATCAGACAAACCAAGAGCGGCAAAGCAGCGGGATAAGACAGCATTCCAGCAGAGGCGATGAAAGCAGACGTGGCATCAACTACATAAATATTCCACATTCTCTTAAACAAGATTTGGGATGAAGAAAATGTACCAACAGACTGGAAAGAAGAATACCTAATCAAAATACTAAAGAAAAGCGATCTCAACTAGTTCGGGAACTACAAAGGCACCAATCTACTATCAGAATCAGGTAAGGTTTTCGACATGGTGTAGTTAAACAGAATGAAGGATTTTGTAGGCGCATAACTTCGAGATCGACGGACCAAACTTACAGAATGAGTTGTTTATGATGTATAATTCTTATCGTGAGGTTGGTTGCTATGAGGTGAAAAAAATATCTTAATTTCACATTACATTCCACTAGTGAATGTTTATGTGTCTCTGACCTTTCTTGGCTCCATTTTTTCATTCGGTTTTGTACTTATATAATCCGTTGGTTGATTACTAATTCATTTTGCATACTTATCTTTGATTCGACTGATAATAACTTTAAACTTACAAACGTATTCACAGCCGGGAAAAAGGTGAAAAGTAATGAAAGCGGGATAAGACAGCATTCCAGCAGAGGCAATGAAAGCAGACGTGGCATTAACTACATAAATATTCCACATCATCTTAAACAAGATTTGTGATGAAGAACAAGTACCAACAGAATGAAGGACTCAACTTCGAGTTCAACAGGTTGGATTTCGTAAGGATCGTGCACTGACCGAATCGCAACATTACGGATCATTGTGGAGAAGTCAGTTGAAAGAAACTCAGCACTCTACATCAAGCCCATTGACTACGAGAAAATATTCGATACCGTGGACAGGACAACACTATCGAGGCTTCTTCGGCACAGACTCATACGGAAATCTTATGTTGGACTAAACTATGAAATCGTGGACAGAAGAAAGCTGACCACAATTTAAACAAATGAGAGCTCTAGTACAAGCAAACCCAGAGTTGTTACCTCAGCTCATCCAACAAACAGGTAACGATAACGCAGATCTGTTCAGGGTACGTATTTCTCTTGCACTTTCCCACAAATTTTTCAAGACTTATATTAATTACACAATAATTTGGTAACTGCAGACTAGTTTCCAAAGAAAAACGTAATTAGGGTTATTTATCAGTTCTCAGGGATTGACACTGTATACAGATCTTTAACAAGTTCGCTTTCTTAAGCCACGCGTATGTGTTGTAGTTAGAGTTGATCAGGTTCACTTTAGAGCTTAATCATGTAACGAATGCCCAGCCATGCTACAACCTGCATAATTAAGTATACTAGATATTCGAACCAGTATTAGTAGACTTAGAGTACCTGAGATTCTACACTTTCAGTTATTTAATGTTTGTATTACATTTAAACTAACCTGCATACTCACCTGTAGAAGCATATTCTTACGTCCCAATGGTTCTTATGAGCTTTCAGTTTGTGTAGCACGCGTGTTCCATCAAAATAAATACTCTCAACTATGTCAAACATCCACTGTTGAAGCAAAGTGATTGTGAGGTGGTGACGAAAATTTGTAGCTCAGGTGGATGATTGATTGTTTGAACGATTAAATATCTTATAGTTGTAATGCGTATGCCCTTAATAATAATATAATTATAATTACAAAATAGTTAACTGTTATTTAGCTCATTCAAGAAAATGAACAAGCATTTCTGGAATTTATTAATACCCCAGTCACTGGCACTACACGACCTGGTAGTCAGCGTCAAACTGTCCTCACCATGACCGCTGAAGAACGTGCTGCTGTGGATCGTCTAAAAGCATTAGGGTTCCCAGAAGAGTTGGTTATTCAAGTAAGTTCTTGAAATTTCTGGGTTACGTCTAATACCGATAGTTTCCCCTTAAAACTTGACGTATTAGTTCTACTCAAAGTATTTAACTGCACACTTCGTTTATCTTAATGCAAAGTTTCAGATTTACTTCAAGTCCCTTTTTGTACGAAAAGAAGCACATATACTAGTCAGATTGTAGTTTAAGGCAGGCAGTTAGAGGTTCATGGTAACAACTAACCTCACTCAGCCTATCTTCCGACACAATACTTGAGACTCAACTTCTTTCAGTCCATGTGTGGTGATCTCAGCACCAAAAATCCGTGTGTTCACTTTATGATAATTGATTCCAGTGTCACGTAAGAACCAAAGACCCCAATCCATTTTTTCCGATTTTCACTTCTATAGATATTTCCTCTCTTGTCGGCAATCAAGAGGCAGCGATCACTCGTATTCTCGGAATCGGTGTTATCCCTCTTTATGTTTTTGATATTTTATCGCTTATCGTATAGTTTATATCATTTTCACTTATTTGGGGCCTAAATATTTACTTAAAAGACCGCAAACTAGTGATTAGATATCTGTCTAACGGACTGTTAGTGACTCGAACAACTAGTTTCAATTAGATGAAACTGGAGAAAGCGTTTGTCGAGAATCAATCATATCAGTATCGACGAGGTTAGTTTCCAGCGTTTTGTTAGCTCTTTGCAATAACAATAAAAGTGATATATCATAGATATAGAACCAGAAATCTGCTGTTAGGCACAATTTAGATGATGTTACAAAAATGTAAACATGTCAATCGTAGCTAGTGTGTATTGGGTTACCTAACCGAAGTAATGATTGATGCATATGTCATTTTCCAATATATCTTTCACAGAATTTTCATTGAGTCTCATGTTTCAAGTACTGGTTTTGCCTTAGTCCAGTTGTGGCTTACGATGATTGTGAATATTTCAAAGTTTTACTATATGTGCTGTACTCTTTCTGACGGTTGTCCCCACTAGATTTCCAATTATTTATGTGATTTATGCCACCCAGTAAAAACTACATTGGTAGTACTAAATTTATGTTGTGAGAAAAAGATATTCACGAAACTACATTTGCTTTAAATTCACATGTCACATTTAGTCCCGGAAGTTACTTTAAGTACTACTCTGTCGTCGTTAAGGTAGACGAAAGAATGTCCGGTTCAACTAAGAATGAAAGACAAGGAGATTCGAGTGGGAGCTTCCGGTTTCACAACATTTTTTAAACATGCTTCTTGTTAACCTATCCATAATGCATTTTTGTGTTAAGCTGAATTTACTTGCTAGATTAGATGGTTTACCCTTTTCAGTGACTCATTGAAACCCCCAACTAGCATGAAACATCTATCATCCTATTATAAACTGATCGTTTCTTGGTGTCTTTTTACCCACTCAGCATCATCCTACAATACAGGCTATAATAGCTCTTACAACTGTTGATCGAAACTGATGTCCCAATGGAACAATGCTTGTATCATGTTTTTTTAAGATCAAACACTGCACATTGACTTCAATTTAATAGTATTGGTATAGAATGGGGCAGTTCAGTGATAACAATAGCTTGACACACGGAATCATCGAATATTTTTAACTCTGGGACCAATGCTCAAAAGCGTAAAGCAGAACTCCTCTGACATTTTTCATTGAAACCGTAATATTTTATTTAGTGAGGATGGTAAGCTATGTGCTTTAACTGTACTACTTCATACCTTGCTCCACTTCATAAAAAGCCAAATCACAATTTTCGTGAACTTGAGAATTTGCTGTTCGTATTTTTGTATCCGTAAAATTGTCTTTTAATAGGTCCTATGATTCACCGAAATAATATCAGTAAGCTTTTGTCGTGTGTGTTGGCGGGTCTATGAAGACGGGATCTTGCATCATTATAGTGTCTGATTTAATATATCGAGTGACCACTTCTGCCTGAATTTAAATACTAATCTATAACATGCAGTGGCTATTTGTACTATATGCTTTAACGATCTCAGCAAATGTCAGTCACTAACAACGTAAAATCTGTCGCAGGTGTGTTTTGGTGGAATTTATTACAATTTTCTTAAACACTGACAAAAACGTCAGTCACTCAAGGACAATAGGTTGTTCTTCATTAGCTGAGGAACAAAAGATAGTATTTATTTGTTTAGTTTAGTAATCAAGTTTGAAAAAGAAGCGTGGTACATTTTTCGTTGAATTTAGGATTTCATGGATTCACTTTACACAGCATGTGTGTAAATTCCATAATTGAATCATGTGGACGACTTTAAAATTGACTAATTATTTTTTATAAAAATCTTTTTTACAGAATATAGTGTAATTAGACTTTCACCTACTTTTTCGTTGTAGGCGTATTATGCATGCGAGAAAAATGAGGATGCAGCTGCGAATTTCCTGCTTAGTGAAAGTTTAGATGATGAAATGGTATAAAGTTTAATGTAAATCATCCTTTATAATTGTTATTACCTTTGTGATGATAGTTCTAGTTGGTGTCACTTACATACACACACATTTGTAACAAATCCACGTCCTTTTTCTCCTCTGCTTTACAGCCTTAAACTAATTATTTATTATTCCCTCATCAGTTTCCCGTGTTTATTTTCAGTAAATCGACATTATTGTAAGAAATGGTTAAAAAGAATATGCTAATGATTGTAACGGTAATACTATGTTTGAGCACATTCGTCAAATGCTAAATGTACTGAATGTGTCCTGTTTTATTTTCTGGTGATCATTATTTTGTTTGTCAACAAAGTATGAGCTTATATATTGTAAACTGTTGTTTATTCTTTTGATCCGACTGCATTCAACTGGTGATTAACTTTTATCTTTAAAACTCTAATTATATGGGATATAAAATTTCACATCAAAGCAAAGTACCTAGCGTTCTTCATTAAAGCAAATTGGTGAATTTCTTTGGATCGAAATTAGTTTGAAAAAATTAAGGCTACCAAGAACATTGAAAAAATATGCATATATCATTATGAATAATAAATAAATATTTTTCATACAGCTAGCCTACATGTTTGCATTTTACTGTTGTATCACTAATATACCAAAAGATACTTTATATTACAATTAATTCGGTTTTGCGCACAACGACCGTGCTCTTCGTATACGAGTAAAATAATCAATTTGAAACCTCTCTAAAATGTTAGGCGCTCTGATATAGTTATAATGGCTGGTGACTTCAATGCTCAGCGAAAAGGAAAGACACCTGGGTGGATCTTATGGTATCGCGGCTGATAGAACAGATAATGGCGACCGTCTGTTGCAATTGTGCTCACATAACCGCCTATTCCTAGCGAACACTAACTTTAAGCATAAGGAAAAACATCTTTTGACCTGACAAGCCCCGAGTCCGACCCAAATAGAGGATTTCGCTGTAAGCCATCGGTGGAGAGGCTCTGTTGAAGGCTGCTGCTCATTCTGGAGCACTTGTTTAGACTCATACCATGCTCTAGTGCGAGCGCGTATTTGTTTGCGCCTTACTGGAAGCAAGGAAACCTCTTAGGACTCTACTTAATGATAATAAAGCTAAGAATATATTTCAGAAACAACTAGAAAAACAGTTGGGCAGCCATGTAGTAAGCAATGCTCACCCTGAAGCAGCTTGGAATGATATCAAAAAGACTGTGGAAACAGCATTGACATCTTCTAGTAAGGTAAACCATAAAGTCAGGGAGAAGCCGTGGATTTCAGTAGCATCTACCGAACTGACGGATGCTCGAAAGCTCATACCTCCTGGCTCTGAGTACGATGAGGAGCGGATTCAGCTCAGGCGCAGGCTGATAAAAAACCTACGCAACGACCGCGAACAGTGGTGGGTGGCGAAAGCAAGGGAGATGGAAAAGGCAACAGCAAGCCACTATTCAGATTCGTCAAACAAACTGGTATTAGGAACCCGAATGTGAGCGAAACCATCTCGGAAAAGGATGGTCTTATTATTCATTCTCGATCCAGGAGATTGGATAGATGGCTTGAACACTTTAGGGATCAGTTCAACTGGCCTTCAGCCACACTTTAGTTGCCCACGATCTCCAGTCAGTTTGAATGGGGAGCTGACATAAGTCCTCCGAAGTTGAGAAAGCTATAGGAAATCTAAGGCGAGGGAGAGATGCGGGTCCTGATAGATTGACCCATGAGGTATTTTAGGATGGTGGTCCAGTTTTAATAGCTAGATCGTGGGTAGAATCTGGGAACTAGGCGTTGGACCTGGAATATGCCGATTACATAGTTATATTTGGTGAAGACACTGACAAAATGCACTGTCTTCTGACTACCGTAAGTAATAATGCATGTTCGGAATGCGGTCCCGCACCCCGAAATGCAAAATGTTGCTTCAAGATTGGCTTGCGTTCGCACCTGAACTAGTGATAATAGAGAGTGAAGTAGTTGAGCGTATTGACCACTTCACTTATCTCGGGAGTCTCATCAGTGCTGATGGCCTTGTGATTGACGAAATCTCAGCACGGATACAGAAGGTTCGATTGGATTTTGACAACTTGCGTCACTTATGGAGAAAGCGAGATATCCGTTTGCTGACTTAAGGATTAGTGTACTGCGCAGCAGTTTGCTCCGTCCTACTTTATGGTTGTGAAACATGGTCAATCAGAGTAGAAGATATTCGTAGGTTACTGATTTTCGATCATAGGTGTCTCCGAAGCATTGCTCGAGTATCGCAAGACAGACGAGTAGGCAACGGGTGCTAGGTAATGGTGGCAGGTCAATAGATGAAGTAATTGAACTTCATCGGTTGAGGCGGTTGGGACATGTGTTACGTATGTCTAACCAGCGACTGCCTCGTCGAGCTATGTTTTGTGGTGTAGGACTAGGTTGGAAGAATGTTAGGGGTGGCCAGACCAAAACATGGCACAAATCCATGAAGTCACAGACAAGTGGACTGAGTCATGTCGGCAGGTGTCGACTACCCGGTTGGAGTCCGCGAGATGATATTAATCGATGGTTAGAGACCCTGAATGACATGTCTCAAAACCGTTTGCAATGGCGCAGGTGCATCCACTCTTTGTGTCCTATGAAATTCTAACCTTATGAATTGATCATCACCTCCATCTATCTCTTTCTAAATTTACCTCACTGAATTATACTTCTGGAATTACATCTTCAAATCCTAACCTCTCCGATTAATTTAACTACCTCTGCTACTATGGGATTTGAATCGACAATTATATCTCTGTGCTAATGTGGTATGACACGTTGAACTGCTGTACTTATGTCCAAAGTTCTACGTTGCTGTTGATGATGATTTGTTTACAATCGCGTATAAAAGTGTAATCACAATGGGAAATAATAAGAACGTTGAAATTGCTTATTTTTGTTGAGTGAAATATATACTGAATTACATCAGATTGTATGCAGGATATTGAGTCATATATCAACGGTTATGCTCTTTCTATCATATGAAGCAAGTAGACATGAGATTAAGTGCTTCAACTTCCTACGATCTTATATGCAAGTGTTTATATTTATGTATGTACGAAGCTCTCTTCCCTACAAGCCTATTTTGGAACTTCACCAGTTCCAGTGGGTTAGCATCTGATGAAATCTCAACAGAGATCAGAAAGCTCCTCTGACTTTTGCCAGCTAATGTCATTTGTAGTTCAGGCAAAATACCAGTCCACCATCTAAAGTACTTCTGCCTAAAGTCTGTGCTGATGGTTTTTGGAAGAACAAAGAGAGCCCCACAACCACCCATCCATGGGACGACTATGCCACTCACTAGTTCACTCTGAGACTTAAGTCAATCAGCAACAACATAGAACTTCGTACTTACGTACATTAATGCAAGTTGCCATGCCACATTAGCACAGAGATGCACTTGTCAATTCGAATTCAATAGTGGTAGAGGCTGTAACAGTATGAACGGTAATGGAGAAGATTAAGATATTATCCAGAAAATATAATCTGGTGAAATAAACTTAAAAAGAGAAGAAGAAAGGTGATGAGGAATTCAGAAGATTATAATTTGTGAGAAGACAAAGAATGGATGCACCTGCGTCATTGTAAACGACTTTGAGTGACGTCGTCCAAGGTCTCTAAGCATAGGTTACTGATGTCTCTCAGACCCCAACCTGATAGTTTACACGTATTAACATGGCTCAGTTCAGTTGTCAGTGACTTTATAGACTTGTGTCATGTTTTGGTTTGACCGCCATTAGCTTTCGTCCAGCCTAGTCCCACACCACAAAACATAGCTCGACGAGGCAGTCGGTGGTTAGGCATACGTAACACAAGTCCCAACCAAGTCAACTGATGAAGTTTCAGTGCTTCATCTATTGATTTGCCATCTCTACCTAGTGCTCGTTTCCTAACCCAAGTATTGCTCACTCGGTTGTCCCACGATATACGAGCAATGCTTTGGAGACACTTATGACAAGCAATCTGCGAATGTCCTCTACTCTCACCGGTCATGTTTCGCAGCCATAAAGTATGACAGAGCGGACTGTTGCGCAGTGCATTCGTCCTTTGATTAACAGATGGATATTTCGACTACGCCATAAGTGACGCAATTCGACAAAAGCCAATCGAGCCTTCTGTATCCGTGCTGAGATTTCGTCAGTTACCAGACCATCAGATCTGACGAGACTACGCAAATAATTGAGGTGGTCGAAACGCTTAACGACTTCACTCCCCATCACTAGTTCAGGTGCCGATGCAACCTAATCCGAAAGCAACATTTTTCATATTGAGGGGGAAAACCGCACCCCGAACATGCTTGCATTGCTGCTTAGGGTGGTCAGAAGACTCTGCATTTTGTCAGCGTCTTCACCAAGTAGGACTATGTCATCAGCATACCCTTAGTCGGGAAGCGTGTATTCTGGTAGAAGGTTCACTCCTGAAAAAGCTCTTACTGAACAGTACATCGGCCATGGCGGTGGTTTGGTATACATGGCCCAGTTAACTTTGAAGATTAACATCTTCAAGGTCGAGTTTATCATATTTGCCAAGTTCCGTATGCATGAACTTGGTATAGATCGTTCCGTTGTACCATGATATATGATTAATGCTATGGAGAGTACTAAGATTAAATTTCAGCAGCCTACGCATCTTTATTTTTAATAAACGATTGTTTTACAGCCAGACAGTAATGCAGGATTTATCTCAGGTCAGTAAACTTGCATTTTAATAAACAGATGGACATTTGGCTTCCTAAACAAGTGATTCAATTTTCCAAAAGCTAAGAGAACTTTTATTGAATTCGCAATCAAATTTCACCACACACCAACCTACCAAAATTAATGAGATTTTGAAGACTAGTAACTACAAACGTGATAACAATAAAGAATAAATGTACCTACTACAAAAATTTTACTTAAAAATACTGGGTAACGTCTTACATCTCATGAGCAAAATAGTTAGAAATGTATCATTCTGAGGACGCAGAACGTTTGATTCTTTTCTGAGCTAATAATGTGACACTGTAAGCAAAAAGAGCCCGAAGATTTTGATGAAAAAAGGTATCTGATTATTGGAAGTTATTATTATACAATATATAAGATTAATCTTCAGGAAACAGAACTACACATGATTCGGTCATTGTTATTAGAAAAAATACCCATAAGTAAAAAATTTAGTAAAGTACAGTGGCAGATATCGTTTGAAGTACTCATACTATAAACACTGAAAAAAACTGCTAAGAACACTTTATAAGTTTATAGATTCTGTGCTAATTTTTTACTAATACGTTCTTGAATATCCCTGAACACCTGGTCAACATCTTTGTTTGCATTTATTTGCAAAAGTTTGTTTTGAGATTCATAGAAGTGTAATATAGGCGCCGCATTTTTTTCGTACTCATACAAGCGTTTTTTTAGAGATTCAGGTTTATCATCGGGACGATGGACAAGACGATCACCAGTAATCTACAAGAGATACCAAGTACGAATAATCACTTGAATTGTAAAGATAAAATAACTAAGGTTTATACAGTCTTTGAGCTTAAAGCGTTTAGTAAGATAGAAAAACAATAAAGAAGGGAAACAGATTTCTAAAACAGTACAAGATTCAAATAATAGGTGAGAATAGAATGAATTATTTCTAAGAAACTAATGTTTTAGTCTTATTTGACTGTGGTAAAAAGTTTTCCATGTTAAGCTCTAAAAAAAACTATGAATTATGTTACGGAAAAACTAATGCACTTTCGTGAACTTTTTAATTTCAGTGTAAGTTTATCTGAATATTTACAGAAAGCAATGAAACACACCTTTGTGTAACATATCTGAATTCATGAAGGAAACCTTTTACATTGATATACACTTTGATATACGAAACAATTGAAGAGACTAGGCGTAACTATTAAGGGTGACGATGGTGACCAGGTCGATGAACAGCTGGAGCCACCTACAATCTAACATATGAGCTACAAATTTTCTCCACCATCTCAATATTAGAGATAAGTATCAAAGAGATATTCTACAACAGCCATTTCGGCGTAAGTGATCAGTAAACAAGTAGGTATAAACATAACAATCTTCGCGAAAATTGACAGTATAATAGCCACAATCAAAACGAACAACAGACACTGGACACATTCAATCTAGTGGGCTGCTAAGCCCAAGGAGAAACGTATAAAGTTAAAAACGGAAACGAAAGCTTGTATAACAGCTTAAAAATAATTCGAAACAAAAGTTTCCTATGGTGATTTTAGGTGACCTTAACTTCAGGTCGGGTGTAAAAATAGCACGGAAATCAAAAGACTCAAAAGCAGAAACCTCATCAAATGGGATGACGGTAATAGATTACTGAAAAACCAACATCTATATAGCGAAGAAACATCTAGATATACCCAGGAATCTGAAATGTACAAATGACTGACCTAACACCAGTAGATAAAGGAGCAAGCTTCTTAATATGCAACGCGTATACAAGTAGATCCTCTGACGCTGATTCCAACCACTATCTAGTAACGGCAACTACATGAGCAGATCAAAGACACTGTTTAAGATTACAGTAAGTAGTAAAATCAGGTGAGGCTATGTAAATTATGGAATATCTCAATAAATATTATTTTAAAGAGCATTCGTTTAAACTTGAAAAACAATGAACAGATACGCTAATCAATGTGGTGTTTGTGCTTAGATCTTGCGATAATTTGGTGGTTGATTTTTTAAAGATAACACTAGTTTTCAGTTTCAAAACTGTAGCCATTAACACTGTATGGTTACTAAGAGTGGCAGTGCGATTCCTAGATAATATACAGGAGTAACTTTGTTGAGAAAAACCAAATGGTACTCAGATAATTCACTAAAAAACAGCTTTTTAGAATGATTTGATATATTGCCGCAGGAAATTTTTAAAAAACCACGCTATTTAACCTGTTCGGGCACCTTTTCATCATATGAAGTCAAATGCAGACATTTCATGTGTGGGTCCGGTCGTATATGAGAAGGAAATCCTCTTAGTAAAAGAAATGGGGTATATAAACAGCAACAAACTGAAAGTCAGTGGTAAAACTTACCCAAATATTAGAAGTGGAAAGACACTAAAACAAACTAGTTAAAAAATCCTTACGAGGGAAACTAAATGGAAAAGTTCAGGTTAGTCAGTCGCCACGTAGAACTTGGTGAGCATATGCATCACTTCAAGTAACTGCATTCCATCAATATAAGTATTAGAGATAGTAACAATACCAATTGTGATAGAAAGTATTGCGTGTCGAAGATAGGATACGAGAAAATACAAATTAGTGAAATAATAAAGCCGGGAAGAACTTAGAAGCACATAATTGGGGGGAGAAACATGAGTAGTTTTTGGATAAGTACATTAGTTCCTTATCTGTTCGGTTGTTTGTATTGAGAGCTTAACACAACTATCCGTCTACGAAACTTTATTAGGTTTGGCAAATAAATATTTTAAAATTAATGAGCAGCTGAAACTTACGTCGTCTACCATAGGGACTTTAGGGGGATTGAACAACTCATGATATGACCTACCACTAGCCAAGTGGAATAACCGACCACAAATTCTTTTTTCTATTATGGAAGGATCAAGCTTGAATTCCAAAGCAGCCAGTAGATTAATGCGACGATCTCTAAGAAGGATGTCAAGCTGTAGTTTGAACACGCAACCTCATGAACATACTTTCTTGGCTTGCTCTACTGTACGTGGAAACCCGTCGAAAAGAAGTCCGTGCTTACATTCAGGAGAATCGATTTTCTGTGCTATTAAGTCACAAACTAGATCATCTGAAACAAGTCCTCCTGATTCCGTAATCTTCTGTACTTTTAGACCAAGTTCTGATCCTGACGCTATAATAGCCCTCAGAATGTCACCTAGAGAATTCTCAGAATTTATAAACACAAACCGGTAGATAGGTGACAGATTTTATAACGTTCAGCTATCTTGGCTGCCTAAAAACCTATTAAGAGAAAACATAGGTTTACCTGAGTCCCTTTTCCACTACCCGGTGGACCTACAAGAACTAAATCAACACGGCTTTCTTCACCATAACGCCACCTCCTATACCAGCTAGCGAAATCAAATAACATCCAGATTAATGAGCCGAAAACGCTTATGAGTGGAACACGGACGATTTGGCCTCGCTTTCGTTTTCGACAACCTTGAGTGGGCTGATTGACGGCGGCTGTTATGAATATTTCGAGTGTAACGCTTTTGAAATATTACACTGCCAATTTCTAGTTCTGTTAATCAGCTTGTCCTAATCTCGTAACTTCTTTATTTCTGGTTGTTCTCGATTGTTTTAACATATTTAAGTGCACTCAATGTACCTACTGACTCGAATGCTCACATTTCTCCTGACATTTTCTCTTCCAGATAACCATATACTCTGCTCCTAACGCTCCAAAGCACCCAAATTATATGCCTGCTAATTTTAAACTTACAAAAGATTCAAGTAACAAGGTAGTAAAATCGGTCTAGCGATCGAATAAGGTCCAGGCGCCTATATTTGTATAATAATTGATTTCATTTTTCCATTTTCCACCAGTTTTTATAAAAATATTCGCGTAAACCCTTGTGTCATTTTCTGAGTGCGTATAGGATTATAGCCATCTTGGTAATGACTGAAGGCTAGGTGGCTATGGTGCTAAACTTAACAATTTTCGTTCTTCAGCTCATCCACCTTCCCCCTGAGTGCGTTGACAGACAGAGCGTGAGGGAACGAGTTCTAATTGTCACCATTTCGATTAAAAAGTCGAAAGTCAGGCAACAAGCAATTTGTGATGGTTTTGTGAATGTTTTTAATGTCTATGTAGATTGTTTCTTTTGAAGACGAAAAATGAGTTCATGACAGATTCAAGTTTACCATTGGAAATGTTGAAAGTTTTAATTGACTCATATCTATCAGAGCCGGTCCCAATATCTTCTCGTGAAACCACCGGCATGGACTTGAAGATACAGGATATTTCATACGCGATTGGTAAACTGAAACATTCTTACACTGAATGACTAGATGGTTTCCTAACTAGCGTGAGAAAAAACTGAATTGATGATTTGCATGTTATGCATGTTAAAACTATTTACCACGTCAACTTCTATGGCATTTTATCTTACTGCTTTGAATATTTACATGTCATCTCAAAAATTAGGTTAGGGCATCCAGCGAACTTCGAAAATTACCGAATCATTAATCTGACCTCATTAGCTCATAGGGTGGTGGAGAAAGTAGTAAAGCTGGTAGTAGTTAGAAATATTCTTTTATGAGCTACCTACCCTTCACATCTCTATATTACTTTTGAACTGGCCTAGATCGTTCAGTTTATACGATTATTCAACCTAATATCTGTGTGACATGGTAGATGGGTATAATCCCACCATACTGAATTTCTAACAATAAAAATGTCTTTGTTCAGTGTTATATGTTTAAGAAAATATTAAATTGTTATAACGGATTATTTTAATAAATATCCTGTACAGAACAACTAGTGATCGGCAGTTGGAATTAAACAGTCCACAAACTAACATCTAATTAGCGATGTCACACTGTCAATCATTGCAATGTTTCGGACAGCACTCTTTTGTACATTTTCGCAATTAATTTAATGGTGTTGCCAGTTGAGTAACATTAACATCGCAGGTTTTCAACGGCTAAATATTTAATTCACAGTGCGTTATATTTTGGTAGATTTCACTTTGGTCTCTCAATTAATTAGTCACTGACAATATCTCAGCAGCCTTAGGGTTTGAAAATTTGAACTTATCAAGCGCCGTATGGTCATGCTTAACTCTGATTTATCAATGGAAAATAATTTCTCTTGCCAGTTGGTCCATAACAGGCAGATAATAACAAAAAAGCAATATCCGCCTGAGCTCCTGCTTGGAATTAAACTATAGTTACTTGAATGAGAAAGCGATATATGTGTGTAGCAGATAACAGGATTTTGACAAAGCTTTTGTAAGTAATAATTTTTGGATCCAGAATACCCGAAATCAGACAAACTAGCAGTCAGGGATGAGGAAGACCGAAGGTATTTTTTTGAAGGATGGTTGTGATATCGATGACTGAGTGGTCGAGGTCTACATTCGATGTTGAGAAGTGAGTTGCACGCCGTACTCCAGTGATCTGCTGTGGATGTGTGACCAAGCGCCTTCAGTTTGGGTGTGTCTAATAGAACCAATGAAGTCAGTGTAAACGTTAAAGAATTATGGAACTGCTTACTTTTGGAATTTATTTTAATGCTACAGATATTTTCCCGGTCAGCTTTTCTAGAATATCTCTACAGGCCGCCACAGAACTTAAAAACGAAAATCTTACCAACCTGAAAATGACATAAGTCTTTAATGTCAACTTTGCAACGAAATTGGATCAGGAATATTCGCTGATTCCAGTACCACTCGGTGGTTTGAGAAATATTTGTCTGAGTCAAGCATTTACTAAAATCACAGTAACTGCTAAATATTGGAAATATACTTCTTCTCTATATCCTGTTGCAGAACAAAGGCACAAATCTCGAAGTTAACAGATATAGTGGTCAATGAAAAAACGAAGTTATTAACTTACGAAGACGTTTTTTGTGAAACTAAAAGAGGGTTTAGAAAAGGTAGATCCTGTATGTTTATATTTATCGTGGCATTAGGACACTCAGAATGATAGGCAAACTTACAAAAACACGTAGTATACTAAACACGCCAAATAATCCCTTAAGGGACAACCCGTTAGAACATTACCGTCATGCTTCAAGAGGAATCTCGTAAACTTGCATGTCGGGGAACTAAAACTCCGTTATGCACCTAATTTTTCTCGCCAGAAGTTGCCTCTGTTTGAAAAGTTATCCCAGCCTAAGCAATCACATCCCATTCAACACAAAGGTCCAAAAGGAGACTTGACAAACCCGTACTCACAGATAGAACGGCACTTCCAGCTCTAACTAGAAGTGCCTTGCGCGGGTATGATAACTACTGATGTTGAGGAGTATCGTAAAGTCAGCCCCAATCCATTCATCTGCTTTGGTCTGCTCACATTTTCTGCCATACTAATTAAATTATTTATTTGTTTACCTCATGAAACAATAGTTTTCTCTGAGCATACGAATCTTTTCATGATTATTTTTCACATTCCAACCAACGAACCTAAGTAGTGTAGATGTTTGAGTCGAAAGACTATGAACATGTCTACAATCAAGTAAAGTTAGGTGCCAAGCGTTATCCATAATCTTTTAACGAAAGTAAGAAGATGTGATAGTTCAGATAAATAAGCGTATTTCCTGGAGACTTCAAGTTATCCATATACGAAGACGTGCCAGAGAATTGGGTGAATGTGCAGAGCAGCAAAAGCGGGATAGTGACCTCATGAATGGATGATACAAAAGTACGAATAAACAAAGTGCTTGGCATAGCGTTCACTGATACAATTGATTATAATAATAAGAGTTGCTATTTAACCATTGGTATTTTTCTTCGTAAAAGTGAAATCAATACGAAAGCAAGAAACAGTTTGGGAAATGTTACCTTGTAATAATATGGTAGTTCTTATTTCCTTCAAACGAATTGCAAACAAATAACTTACCTATAGGATTCAAGTAATTAAATTGTTATTTAGGATTTTAGTATCACGGTTTATAATTAAATCAAAATTTTGCCCTAGCAGAAGAAAACTGATGAAATGAATAAGTACAAAAATCTCGGGTGAGAACTTATTGAATAATAATTATTATTATTTATTCTAAAATAACAACATGTAACAAGAGGCATGCCAGTTTAGAGGCAGGATCATATTATGAAAATTGATAACATATTTGTTGTAAAACGTTATTCAGTTACTGAAATGTTTCATAAGATACATTGGTTTCAGATAGATGGCTAAAATTTTCCACATAAAATTATAAATAATTTTCCAGACTCTTCAGTGTACAACGCGAACAATTGGTTCGAGTTATAACGGCTGTGAATACGTTTGTAAGTTTAAAGTTATTATCAGTCGAATCAAAGATAAGTATGCAAAATGAATTAGTAATCAACCAACGGATTATATAAGTACAAAACCGAATGAAAAAATGGAGCCAAGAAAGGTCAGAGACACATAAACATTCACTAGTGGAATGTAATGTGAAATTAAGATATTTTTTTCACCTCATAGCAACCAACCTCACGATAAGAATTATACATCATAAACAACTCATTCTGTAAGTTTGGTCCGTCGATCTCGAAGTTATGCGCCTACAAAATCCTTCATTCTGTTTAACTACACCATGTCGAAAACCTTACCTGATTCTGATAGTAGATTGGTGCCTTTGTAGTTCCCGAACTAGTTGAGATCGCTTTTCTTTAGTATTTTGATTAGGTATTCTTCTTTCCAGTCTGTTGGTACATTTTCTTCATCCCAAATCTTGTTTAAGAGAATGTGGAATATTTATGTAGTTGATGCCACGTCTGCTTTCATCGCCTCTGCTGGAATGCTGTCTTATCCCGCTGCTTTGCCGCTCTTGGTTTGTCTGATGGACACGCTAATCTCTTCAATTGTTGGTGGGCAAACATCTATTGAGAGGTCCGTGGATGTTGCTTCGATGTTAGGTGGGTTCTTTGGAGCTGGTCAATTCAAGAGTTCCTTAAAGTGCTCTACCCATCTGTTTCCTCGTGCTTCAATGTTGGTGATTACTGTTCTTTCTTTGCTTCTCACTGGTCGTTCTGTTTTACGATAGTTTCCAGAGAACTTCTTTGTTGTATGGTATAGTTGTCTCAGGTTTCCTACTCTTGCAGTCTTTTCCGCCTTCATTGTTAGATCTTCCACGAATTTACATTCGTCGGCTCTGATACTCCTTTTCACTTGCTTGTTTGCTTCTGTGTATTCAGCTTGTGCCTTGACTCTCTCTGTTCTTGTTTGGCTGATGTTGATTGCTGCCTTCTTGTTCAATCTTCTATTTTTGTAAGAATAGCAACAGAGATGCATTCCTTGTGATGGTGGTTCTTGTGGCCCAGAACCTCGTGATAAGTTGAAGTGATTTCCTCTTTGATCCATTTCCTCTCCATTGAGTAACTCGTACAAAGCCTAGAACCTATTGCTGATGTCTATCTTGAGTTCACTGAGCTTTTC